AAAAAAGTTTATTCGACAAAGAGTACGCTCTGGTTGCCTTTGTAGACATAGAAGGCGCCTTCAACAATATTAACGCAAGCGCCATAACGGGTGCCTTTGAAGAGCTTGGAGTTGACCAGAATGTGGCGGTGCTGATCGAGTCTATACTTGTCAGCAGGACGGTAACCGCTAAGCTCGGCAACACCACAATAAGCAGAAAGGTCTGTAGAGGCACTCCCCAGGGAGGGGTTCTCTCCCCTCTTCTCTGGAATCTGGCGGTGAACTCTCTGCTGGTGGCACTAGAGAGGGGGGGTTGCCATGTCACAGCATATGCTGACGATCTGGCAATTGCCGTCAAAGGCAAATACCCAAATACCCTAATGGAGATTCTGCGCTCTAACATGGCCACGCTTAGGAACTGGACAGAGAGTAGGGGACTCGGAGTAAACCCCGAGAAAACCGAAGCAATTCTCTTCACAAGGAAACACAGGCCTCCCATTGTCTCCCCGCTAATCTTTTTGGGTGTGGAGATATCCTTGAAGGAGAATGTTAAGTATCTAGGACTCATATTAGACAGGAAACTAACGTGGAAACCTAATATAGAGGAAAGAGTAAGGAAGGCCAACGTTGCATTATACACATGCAAAAAAGCGGTCGGAATCAAGTGGGGGTTAACACCTCGTATTACACACTGGCTATACACCTCGGTGGTCAGGCCAATACTCTTATATGGAATACTTGTATGGTGGCCAGCAACTCAAAAGGCAAGTTACCTAAAACTATTGAGTAAGGTCCAAAGAACAGCGTTTCTATGCATTTCGGGTGCCTTAAGGACCACCCCAAATAAGGCGCTGGAGGTGATTACCAATTTACCCGCAATAAACCTGGTGGGAAAATACGCGGCCGCCGATTCAGCGCTCAAACTAAGAAGTATGGTGCTATGGAAGGATCGGCGGTTTGGTCACGCTTCCATACTTCACACTCTGGGTAGTTACAACCAAGAAGTCGACTACTCCGCTCCCAAACCAATCTTCAATAGGCTCTTTAAGACGAGCATCCCGTCTAGAGGAGAATGGCAAACGCCAAGACCATGGAGACGGGGGGAATTGAATTTTTACACAGCTGGATCCAAGCTAGACAATAGGGTTGGCTACGGAGTTTTCTCTAAGGAACTAGGACTGGAACTATCCGTCCGAATTCCGGACCACTGCAGTGTCTATCAGGCAGAAGTTTTAGCCATAAAAGAGGTGGCTGTGTACCTTAGTACACATGCCGTAACGAAGACTACGATTAATATTTTCTCGGACAGCCAGGCGGCCATTAAA